TGATGAAGATCGCACAGAAAGGCGATTCACATTTCAGAAGAAAATGCGAAAATGCTTTTTACCTTGCTTTTTACCTTGCAGCCTAGATTTGAGTTATTAAGAATAGAACGGAACAGAACCTTCATTCCTTGATGCGGACATCTTCCAAGCCAGGAAATCCCCGGTTGTCAATCCAAGAGTGTTTTCACTGTAGTTACAAATAAGTGTATACAGTGTGATTTAAAAGTAAAATCCCACACAACTTGGAGCTTAGATATCGATTAAAATGTAAATAAGTAAATGTAAAATGTGTCTCTAATATATCCTTGCCTATTTTTCTTTTTTGAATTGTATAGTATGACAATTAAAGGTGACTGCTAAATATAGATGGATTTGACAATGAGAAATTGCATTTGAATAGTTTGGCCCTTCCAAGAAAATTATATGTAAAATATTTCTACCCTTAAAGATTCTTCGGTCTTTCCTCCCAAAGGTTGCGAAGGAACAAAACCTTTGATTAACTTTTTAGAACCCATATTCAATTTTAAAATTCCCAACTAGTTTAATAGCTGAATTAACAGTAACAAATTATCAACTACTTTGAATAATCGAGAGGTCGATAACAGCATATCCCATATCTAAGCTCGGAGAGGATTTTTAGGAAATTATTTTCGGCGTGGGCGTAAAAAGTGTGACTTGGCTTAATGCAGTTGTTGTTGCTGCCGCAAATGCCTAATGCGGTTGGCATAAATTTTAAGGCTAATCATGGAGATGCGATAACAGTAGCAGAACACCAACAACAAAAACAACAACGAGGAGGTAGACAACAACGAGCACTTATCCAACGCATGGCCATAAAAAGTGCGCTAATGTTAACCCGTTGCTGTCGTTTGAATTACAACATTCAGTAGCCAAGACCGCAGCAAGACCTCCGCCCTCCTCTCCTACACACACACACACACACACACACACACACAGACATAGAGCGTGCCACATGCCACGCTAAGCCGCATCTTTACATATGCAGGGCAACAATGTCTCAGCCTAAAAGTAGGCAACTTTACGTTGCTCGCATGATAATTTAATTACAGCACTGGGATTGCGCGGGGCAAGGGATGTTTGCTTGGTGTTTGTGCGTCGCAGCATCAATCTCCGGCTTAGACAAGACAATCTGCGCATATAGTACACCTATGCATATCCACATTATTCTTAGCACCTTAGCGCACCAGAGTGCCAGAGAGAAGCCAGAGAGTTGGCCAGGGCCCAGCAACCGACGGAGCATGTCCGACTAATAGTTGGGCATAGGCATACTAACTGATCCATTAAAGATCAAATTCAAAAATTGCATATTTTGCAGGCACTTAATCTGCTTGGCAAATATTACAATGAGAATTAGGCTGACCTGGAAAAAGTATTGAAACTGAATCCGATAAGTGTCTGTGGATTCTGATGCTCACTGATCAATATACTAAGTTGTAGGACATGCAATGTAGCTGTCAAGGCGCACCGCAAATTATCCGCATGATAAACCTATTCTGTGCTGAATTAAAAAGAAATTGCGGTTTATTATATTGAATTGTTGAGTTCTATTTGGTAAAGCACTCGAGATCAGGAGCTCATTTTAATCAGGCTGTTCACAAGCGGAACCATAAAGCTATCGCCTTTGATTCCAGTTTTCTCTGGTCTCTGGTTCAGTTCATGGTGCGAACCAACGCCTTGCATTGAGGCTCGGTTCGTGAACAGGCTTTGGGACATTTGTGAAGCCAGGTTTTGGGTTCGAAACTTAGCTCTGATATTTCCTACAATTTGCAATAGTAATTCTATTTAATTCGTTCATAAAATTTCAGATTTTTATTTATCGAAATTAATTCTTTTTTTCTTTTTGGAGTACTGAAAAATTATTGTTTGGTTCAGCTTAAGGTTCGACTAATCTTAAGTCAGCTAAGCCGTAAAGGCTGGGCTTATATTTCATCAATATTTGGGATCTTTTCAGCTTAAGACCATGCAGCTCTGCTGTTGGCCCTACAGACCCAATTGTCATACGCTTGCCATTTACAGGATATAATTATATATTAAATTAAGCCATTTGCATGCGCGTATTTTTTGGGGCAGAGCCGCTCAGCTAAGGGCCACGGTGCTGCCGCTTTTCAACCCGGTCATGTTGTAGATTATTAAAAATTATGTCTCACAGTAGGACATGCAACGCGCAGGCAACTGCTTCAAGTTCCCCACTACCCATCTGCCAGCTGCCAGCTGCCAGCTCCCAGCTCCCAACTCCAGTCACATAGGCCACATTAATGTGCTGCTCAGGCAGCGCTGCGATAAGCAGCAGCAGCAGCAGCCGCAGCAGGCAGCAGTTGTAAAAGTGGTAAAAAATTGTATATTTTCAGTGTTTTATTATTTTTATTTTTAAACATTTATTATTGTTGTTGCTGCTGCTGTTGTTGTTGTTGTGGTGCAGACGCAAATCCACGCAAAAATTATATTTTGACGTTTTGTCAGTGGCTGTGGAGGGGGGGGGGGGGGGCGAGAGAGGTTTCAGGTGGGTGGCATTATCAGGCATTGCAACATTGTGTGCTATGGCCTACACGCAAAAAGAAAAAACCAAACTCAAAACAAAAACAAAAACAAAGCAAATAATATAAACTTCAAGCCCAAAACAGCCCGAAATGCACTTTGGGCGGTGGGGGGAAGGGCTTACCGCTTGCGAAAAAGAGTAATCGAAAATGATCGCACTCAGTTTGCTTGATTTAGAGAGTGATAGAGAGGGTGAGACAGATGGGGAGAGAGAGAGAGAGAGAAAAGTTTGACGAAGCAAAGTGAGAGAGTGAGAGAGGTACTTTATTTTAACGATACTTTACTTGTAATCGTTATCGCAATTGCTATCGCAATTGTTATCGCAATCGTTATCGCAATCGTTATCACAACGGTAAAAGTAATCGCATGAACAGTTATGAATTTGTAATCGTAATCGGCTTCGTAATCGTCATCGTTATCGTTATATAACTTAAGCCGAATCCGAATGAGTCTGAAACTCCAAATTCGTATGTACCTTAAACCAAATCTTCAATCGGTTTAATTAGGGCAAGCAAAGACAAATGTAAACCTGAAACATATAAAATTTTTTTTGCTTTCAGAAAATAGTCTTTTATAATTTTAAAGCTTTCCAAAATTGTGCTTAAAAGGTTATAGTTCTTTAAATATGAAATATAAAATAATTAAAAAAAAAATTAATATATGAATATATAAATAATTTAATTTATAATAAATTGAAGTGGTCCATTGAAAATTGTTAGATAATGTGAGATGAGAGATTTTTGCGGCCAAAACCCGGACTTTAAGCCTTGTTTTGGATTTACAGCCTTGGTAACTGTAGCACTAAAAAAATATTCTCTTCGATTCTATATATAAATATGGACATTAGCTGTTTCTGTGGTAAATCTAATACATTTTGAAAAATTAAAAATAAATATCATCCAAAAAAAGCTCAATTTTAAACAATTTCTTAACACAATTATATGTATATGCTTTAAATAATAATTATTGTTTTTTATTTTATATTTTATATATTCATATTTTATTTGTACATATAAGGCGCCCTTGCACAGTCCACATGTGAGCTGGTGGCAACTCTGGCCGGACGGCTGGCTGCACATGCTGCCCGCGCGGCGCTTTTGCCGCTGGTACCTTGGGGAAGCCGCGCCTGAGATTTGTTTTACGAAATTTATATTCTAAATGTTGTGGCAGTTTTTTGCTGTTGCTGTTGTTGTTGTGGTTGTTTTGAGACGTGGCATAAGCCGCGCTGCTTAGTTTTTAAAACTTATTTTAATGTTGCCATTACCATGTTGTAGTTGTTGCAGTTGTTGATGCTGTGGTTGTTGCTGGGGGCCTTTTGCGATTTGGGCAGCTGTTCTGCAGCTCGACAGCGACCCTTAATACATTTAAATTGCTCTCTCTGTCTGTGGTGTCGAAATCCTTTGTTAATGTAACGCCATGGTCAAAAAAAAAAAAAAAACAAAAGGGGAGGAAGAAGAAATGCAGCCTCTCTCTGCTCCAGCAAGCACAAACAAAGGCCCAGGGCCAGAAGCAGCCGGAAAGTGTGCTCGACTAGCAGTTATTCTGTGTACAGAAATGCATACGAGACTGGTCTGAAATACGTGGAATACACATAAGGCTGACACGCGAACAGAATATATGCACACGCACAGACGTGTGTCGGATCTGGGCTAAACATTTTGCTCGATTTGGGGGCAGTAATAGGGTGTATATGGATAGATAGAATATATAGAATAGAAATAAATATTTTAGATAGATATAAACTTTTACTTAATTTTATATTGTGCTAGAAGAAATTACCCGATGCCGACCGGCTCGAATGCGAGTCATTCGGTCCAATTTTCGACAGATTAATTAATTAATTAATTAATTTATTGATTACCAAATCGTTGAAAACAGAACAGATAAGAAAAATATCAAATAAAGTTAACAGTTATAGAAATGGTTGCTTGATTTGAACCAGCATCTTCTTGCTTGCTAGTTTGACCGCTCAGCTAAATGTTTGCAAAGCACAATTCAAGCTTTTGATCACCATTTTCCATTGCCACCTAGTCAAATCTACTAAAACCCCGTCCCGGCTTTTACTGTTGGAGCTGTGTGCTGATTCCTCAATCAGTTACTCAATCAGGTATGATGATGTGCAGTGCAGTGTTAAGAACGAATCTAGCTTGAAAGACATTTGAATGCTGTAAACCCTATATCTCCAAAGAAAATTGTTCATTATATAGGTAAATTTGTTCGTATAAAATGATTTCTGTGGGCCAATTTCATGGAAACTTTTTGTTCAAAAATTGTATACTCCATAATGAACCGAAAATAGAAAAAAAATCAGATTGTCGAAAAAGATTTAACGTCAAATTTTAATTTCTGCAGAATTCAATGTTTCAGAGAGTTCAAATTTCGAATCAACCAAATTTTGTGGCTCTAGGTCAGTTGGGTCCAAATATAAGATCGAAAAGGCGATGTTTTGCCTAATAAATGCACTTGTAGAACTTTATTATACCATTTAAAACTGGGCAATACCTACAGGAGAGCACTTTTCGATCAATTTGTAACGCGAGCTCAAATGCAAAGCTGCATTTTAAACATTTAGAAACTGGAATCAAATGGGATTTATCAGAAAGGAACTTCAACTGGGGCAAAGCGCAACAACAAAACGTTAAAAATGACAATAACAAAACGGATCGGATCCCTCAGATACGACGCTTCAGGATGCGCAACAAGATCTGCCAGCGACCCAGCCACTGTTGAGTGTCCTGCAGCAAATGGCTGGGACTGCGCGCCATATTGTGCGGCGGCATCGGCAGCATGGCCTCATCGGGCATCATCTGCGGCCCCTCGTACGACTCCACCACGGCACGGCGCTCCCGGTTGGCTGGCGAACGCACCGAGCACGACGGCATTGGGCTCATCCGCTGTTGAATACCGTCCTTCGCCTTATTCATCTGGTCAATAGGGTTTTATTTGGATATCCAATACTATTTGATGGCTTACTTACCGTTCGTGTTAATGCAAAAAGCTTGAATTTTTGTGTGTTTTTTTTTTAAATATTTGAAAAATAATATACGTTCGTCAAAAGCGAAAAAAATGTATTTTTTGTTCAGTTCTATTGAACTGTTTGCTAGGCGTATGAAAAGTGATATGGGAATATCTCGAGACCTTAGAGCTGGGCTATACGAAGGCATCCAAGGCATCGCCTGCTATACAGTATTTGATTTAAATCTACTTTGAACTAAGAGAGAGAGAGGGAGAGCGAGAGGGAAAAGGAGGGTGAGCGAGAGAGAACCGAACCGATATCCTTCTAGATTGTATTATAATTTTGTCATGAAAGAATATAAGTTAACAATATATAAGAATATATAAGTTAACACGATCGCCCAGCAACAATTAAGTCGGCCAAGCCGATCACATAAAAGTGCCAGGTCAGCATCGTCTGCGGATATTGCACAACGACAGTGCCAGAAGCCCAAACTTCAGTCAGCGACAATGTTGCAGGCAATGCTCTGCGACGCAGCAGCAGCTGCTATCCGACACGAGGCGCCGGGTCGGCATTTTTAGGGCATATGGCTAGCTTTGGTTATACGATTTTATGTACTTAACTTTCAGTTGAATTTTGGAATTAAATCGCGCCGGTCATAGCCACGATATTCGCCAGTCTTAAATAATTAATAACCTACTTTAGAAACGGTTCAATTGGCACCCAACGTGATCGAGACCCGATATGTTAACGAAAAGAAGAAAAACTACAACAACAAACAGCGATAATCGATATGCAACAACAAAGAAAACCAAACGACGGCAGCAGCACAATTATTATTATTTGTTTATTTATTAAGTTAAAACACGAACATGTAAGTAGAGTGCTCAGTGATTATATTTTGTAAATCATTGGAGTCTAAAATCGCGGAGTTGATTATTCCAATTTTTGTGAGCGTAGCCGATAGCATTAAGGCTTCGAGTTCAGAAATTATTATGCGACATATGTCTTGAAAGCCAGGCTTCATATAAATGCTCTGTATTTATTTTTGTTTTTGCATATTTTACTAAAATATTTACTACGCTAGTGAGTTCGTTTATTTGTTCTTTGGGCTCTTTGTGTTAATACTTAGTTATCTGCCTATTTTCTGATTCTATGAGCTCTTTCTGTGTGAATTTAATGTTCTCGAAGTCGCCGAAATCTTCAAATTTTAAAGCGGCGCCTAACAAATAAATGCGTCTAGCCTGTCTATGGTGTAGTGTGGGGATTTCTAGTTCAATTTGCTGAACAAGTTCACTCGTTCATTTTGTGGTCGTGAACTAAATCGGTCATTTAGTTGACTCGTTCAGATATTCAGTCAGTATTATTGGGTCATGACTGATGACATTGAGCAATGGGGATCCCGCTACAACTGGCCCACTTCCCAAGAAGATTAAACATCTTGCCATCCTATGCACTTTATGTGCACTTTAACAACGGACAAAAGGCTTCTAACGTGATGGACATCAAGGTCTAAGATTTTTCGCATATGCGATTGGGGAAATATTTCGGACAACTTCTCTGTTTCATCTACCATATTGGTTAGGTCTGTTCAATTGCTAGAGTGACTAATAAAATCCCTTTGATCCCATATTAATACATTTCCATCGAATACAGGAATGTAATTTGAGCGTGAGTAGGGCTAAAAACGTAAGCTTAAACATGCAAGAATGAATGGTAAACTATAAAAATTACTGCGTGTACATTTTTACTTTTTTATTTATTTTTTAAAATTAATATTTATTGTATTGAACAAAAATAGCATACATATTTCTTGGGTGATATTTCGCCAAGCCTGAATGGGTCCCCAGGCTTTATTGTTAATGAAGTAACTGTAAGTTAATGAAGTGAATATTCATGGGCTCCTCGGTGACTTTGCTGCTCGGATTGTGTACGTGGAGAACGGTATGGCCCTGGCTCCGCAGGTCGTCGATGAGCTCTCGGTTGAGTGTGGAGTGGTGGAGGCCTTTGATTACTATGCGGTAGGGCTTCTCCTCCTGCAGCTGGTATAAGTAGAACTCAATTTTATGTTCTTCCAGTATCTGTATGTGGGCACATCGTTGGCTAGGAGTTGCATAGTCCTACCTAGGTTCGATTTGATGGGCAAGCTATCCACTACTTCGGATAGTATGAGCCACACGTCGTTGATGTCGTCGATGCGATTTAGGACGATGGGGGGTTGCTTCTTTCCTCCAGTGGGGGCAGTGTTGTTGGCCCTTTTTTCGGGCACGGAGGAGCTGGTGCCGGCATGGGCGACAGCGTTGGGCTGGCTGCCGCCCGCAACCTGAGGAGTCGCTGAGGCAGGATAGTTCTCTTCTTGGACTGGGTTTATCTGCTCGCCCTCAGATTCGTCAGTTTCCATGTCTTGGTCGTTATCGGGTGCGGCCAAGAGTGCATATCTATTGGGAGCATGAGTGCCAACTGGACTGGTGTCAGTCTTGTTCTGCTTTCGCCGCGCGGCAGGTGGGGACCTGCTGTCTAAGACTTTGCGCTTATTATTTTTATTTGTCGCCTGCGTTTGGATCATTCGAGCCGCGGCTGCGGCAGTTGAATTGGGTTTGACGATATCTATTATACCCACTAGGGCGTCAACGGGGTCTCTATTCACACTAGCACCAGCATGTGGGCTGCTGGCAGGGTCTTCGGAGTCCATTAAGGGAAGGAAGGTGAAACTGAGAATTCATTGGCAGCTGTTGTTAAGCGGCTGTTAAGCATTGAGGTGCTCGGCTGCGTAGCGGCGTCAGCATTTAGTTGGCCTACCTCGTTAGTTGGAGATCTCGTTAGTTACTCATTGTGGGTGCATTGCTGTTCTCAGCACTCACTGGAATGGTGGCTCTATTGGCATTGCCACTGGCTAGATGCATGTCAGCACGGCAGACTGCCGCAGACGACTTGCTCAATTTGTTGACCACCTTATTTTTTTGGTTTGATTGTATTTCGTTTCATTTAAAACAAATTGCATTGTCCGCGTTTGGGCGTGCTCTCGAATTTTGATTTTTAATTTTATTCTATTTGAGATTGTCCCATTAATTAGAGCCGAGGTTCCCAAATCTGTTTGTACTTTGTGTTCTGAATGCAATGGGGTCAGTTTGTTTCAAGCCTTTTGTTGTTTTTTTCAAATACTCTTTCCCCTACTTCGAACACTCTATTTTGTCTGGTTGCGTTGAATCTTTCAAGCATGGCCTGTTGTGCTTTTTCAATTTTTTTCTTCATGGAGTGTCTAAATTCGGTTGACGAGGCGACAAGGGGTTTTTGATCCGTGACAGAATGGATTGACCTATTGTATTCTAGTGTCGCCGTCCTGATCAACTCTGTTGTATCGTTAGCTTTCCTATCTAAGTTCAAACTTCTGCCAATTTCCATCAGGGTACTGTGAAACCTTTCTACCTGTCTATTTACGATATCTATATTGTAGTTGTTTTTTTTTAACAGTGATACGATTGTTTATCGCAATATATTGTCCATGTTTTCCGGAACAAGCTGATCAACTGTCTTTTATTGTTCGCGACAGAAGCGGTTGTACGACAGCAAATTTGGAGAACTTGTCTAAACAAGTTAGGAGTAGTTTTTTTTATCAGTGGAAAAAATATCAATGTGAAGTATTTCGCCAGCATAAGAAGGGATTGGTGTAGCGCCAATTTCCTGTTTTTTAGGGTGTCTATCATAATTTGACCAAGTGCACACCTTACAATTCATGACGATTTCTTTGGCCAGGGTGCTAATTTTAGGGAAATAGTAGTCGCCAAGGGCTTTGCTTAACATTTTCCTGAGCGGCTCTGTGTGCGCGTTATTTGTCTATTTGTCTTTCTATTTGGTTGCAGGAATATTTGACACCAGCTTTTGTCTGTAGAGTGGATCAGGTGGCGAATTTTCTGATTGAAAATTATTAAATTTCGCTGAAGTGAGAAATGTGATTCTTTTAAAATTGTTTGATTTCTGATGCAGTTTATTGGTTTCTCAATTGTCTCTACCGTGTAGGTGAGTAAGAGTTCGCTATGGAATGTCGGAGCGTCAGACTGGGCTTCATTTTCTAAGGCTATAAGGTTTTGCCTAGAAAGGGCATCAGCCACGAAGTTTTCTTTACCCGGTTTAGGGAACACTTTTGCATTGTGTTCGTCAATAAAGGAATTCCGTCTTTTGATTTTTGCGTTCGTATTTCTGTCAGATGCGGCGAAAGTCAGAGGTTGATGGTCCGTGAAAATGTTAATTTCTTTGGTTCCATATAAGGAATTTTGTAACTTCCCTAAGGCCCATACAATGGCCAAAAATTGCCTCTCGTTTGCTTAAGCGTTCTGGAGATCATTGTGATCGGTCTGCCCCCTTGAGATAGGAAGCATCAGTGGTCAGGTAAAAGGGCTGCCTAAAATCCGGATACATTGGCATGGCATCTTCTGATGCTAAAATGTGTTTGCTAGCTGTGCCATTTACTCCCTTAAGTATGTCTTTTATAGATCCTCTATAATAGCTAGCTAATCCAAAGAATGATCTAAGGCTGTAGAGATTTTTTGGCTCTTCATATTCTTGAATGGTTCTTACTTTTTCAGGGTCTGTTTTGGCCCCGTTGCTGCTTAGTACGAAAACCTAAGTATTTCGTATTTTCTTGTGATACTCTCATGTTAGCATCACACAGGCACTTTAGAACCGTGTCGATATGTTTTACATGATCGACTTCATTTTCTGAGAAAATTATTACGTCATCTACATATACGTAACATATTTTCCCTATTTGTTCTCTTAGAACGTCGTCTATTTCCTTTGGGAAATGCTTTCCGCATTTTTTAGACCAAATGCTAAACGACAGAATTCATATTTCCCGCCGTTTACTGAAAATGATATTTTCTCGCGGTCTTGTTTAGCAAGATATATTTTATGGTAAACCGACTTTAAGTCTAGAGTTGTGAAAAATTGTGTCTATCCTAAGTTCGCTAGAATCCTAGGAATTCTAGGCATTGGATAGCGATCGGCGATAGTTCGCTCATTCAGCTTCCTAAAGTCGATCAATAGGCGAGTCGGTCCCTTTTTTATCAACGACCCAAGTTGGGCTGTTGTATGGCGACCTCGATGGCATGATTATGCCATCGTTTAGCAATAGTTTAATTTCATTGCTTACGAAGTCCGACACTCCCATGGGGTGTGGGTACAATTTCGAGTAGACTGGTTTATTATCTATTGTTCGAATTGTAGCGACAATTGAAGTATAAAAGGGCAACGCCTCGTTAGAGGTCGAAAACGCCCTTTTCCTTTTTAGAATCATGTCCTTAAACTCTTGTCACAATGTCATTGACATTCGTGAAGTTTACACTCTCACAGTCGTGGTACTCGAATTTTTCTTTTATATCTAGATATGTTAAGGTGCTGTCTTGCAGATTTAACGTAACTCCAGCCTGCGTTAGCGTCAGCGTGTTTAGAATGAAAAAGGGAGAATCCTGGCCAAATATCTTTAAAAGGCATTTGTTTTGAAGTTTTGGAGCTATGAACTGAGCTCACAGTGAAGGGCTTATCGGCTAGCACTACTTTTTTTAGGTCCTTTATGGGCTTAACGTGGTTTTTAACCGCCCCTGTGTCTATCAAAATTTTTTTAAATTTTCCCAGCCAACTGTCGGTTAATAAACGGTAGCCGGGAGATTTGGGATTTTCCCTGATCAGTGCGCTGTCCATGTTTAGGCGAAGAATCAATCTTTATCGGTTCTGGGCGCTCCACTTGGCCTTCCTTTCCATTATGTTCTTGATTAGCATTATTGTTTGGCTGCCTTTTAAAAAAATGTGGTTTCATTTCCTTCCTGTTACCTTTGCCCTGCTTGGTATACGAGCCATTCTTATTATTTTCGTTCGCTTGCTTCTCTTTTCTCTTCTATAATTTTGGCATATGAAGCTGGGAAAGTGCTTCGCTCAATGTTGGCCTCCGCTTCTCTGGCCAGAGCCAAAGTGGATGGCAGGCCTTTCGGCTGTGCCGGAAAAACAATTGCTTTTAGAGATTTTTTCAAACCCGAAATGAGCACATGCAATGCGTCTAACTTCTTTGTTAATTAAGGACGCTTCTATAGTTTCGTGGGACATGACAATTTTATTGGTTACTAAAGTCAACCTTCGTTCGACTTCATCATAGGAATCCATGAGTCCTAAATCGCCTTGCCTAACCATCTCTAGCCCCTGTCGTAGAAGGCGTAGTGATGTCTTGTCAGGTACAGTCTAATATAGCTATCTAAATTTAGAACCGTATTGTGAGAAACTAGCAATGCTCTTGCTGGTCCTTGAATTTTGTTTCAGATAATTGCAACGGCTTGGTAATGGCCACTACTGCCATCTGTGGCGGATTGCTCCATGCTACGTATTCGTCTGCAACACCATTAAAATCGGGTACCGATTTTACCATATCTAACGGTATATCGCACGTTACATCTGGTCTAACAGATATTCTCTGAGAGTTTTCAACTTGGGGGTCATTTGATCGAACTGCTGCTGGAATCTAAGCTCTGTTGCTCCAAGGCAATCGCAACTGCGCTTTCTATTAAGGCTTGGATTTGATTCGGGTCCATAGTTCTGTCGGTTTGTACTTGACTAACCTCGGGTTCAGATTCCCAGCTGTCTTCACTATCGTATTCAATTTTAATCTGCCTTGTCAGGTCAAATCGGCTCATTAGTGTTTAATGCGCACAAACTTAAATCAACCGCAATTGCTTGGCAAGAAAAAAAAAAATTCGGGCAAAATTACTTGCGAACATATGTATATCGCTCGTGATTAGCCTCGACTTTTTGGGCTAATGCTAAAGCAGAAGGAAGATCAGATGGTCTTGCAGAAAACAGATCATCGCTTAACTACCTTTTGGTTCCCTCTGTATTTTGATAGTCTTCTTTAATAGCAGAGTCAGTTTTTTCTCTACTTCGTTATAATATTACAGGAGAGTCATATTGCCCTGGCGGAGCGTTGACATTTCTTGCTCTTTCAGATACACTGGTCGTTTGTCTGCGTATGTAAAATCTAACCGGTTGATTATGGCCTTGAATATGAGCTAAAACTTTTATTTTGTTACTCAATATGCCTAAAGCTTGGTAATGTTTCGAGCTACTCTCGTAACTTTCGTACACTTTGTATGCGGTATGTGCCGCTTTTCTCCGTGAGACGTATGTCTCATTTCTACCCTCGAAGTCCGGCAGGGACTTCATAATATCTAAAGTCTCGTCGCACACGACACTTGCTCTAATTTCGGCATCTCTATATGTACCTACTTCAGGTGTGCCGATATTCACACTACCTAAGCGTTCTTTAATATCCTGTAATTTTTTATTGAAGCTTCGCTCTTTAAAAAAAAAGCTTTCAATTTCTCGCTTGTCATTGCCATATTGGAGTAGCTTTGAGTTTAATACTGATTTTCTGAATAATCTGTGCTTCTAAGTTTCTCGAGTTTGCCTAGTAAATCCTCTAATTCACTATCACTCATATGTCGTATTAACACAAATACAAAGAACAAAACTTTGTTCTGTTTTTATTTTTGCATTAAACATTTTGCAAGAATTTTTCTAAACTCGTGCCTATATTTGGATATTTGGTTCCGGCTAACGTATACAATTCTTGAAATTTCGGTTTTTATTTAATTTAATTTTTAATGTTTCGTTTAAAACGATTTGCAAACAAAGAAATAATCGGGTAAAAATCAATGAACACTCTACTTAAAAAAAATAAAATCAATGAACATTCTACCAATATTACAATTAAAGATTAATTAAACAAGAATTTTTTACACTTTATAATAAAATACCCTAAGCCTAACTTAGCATGTAAACAAAAAATCTTGCACCCTGTTCCGTTGTGTTGAACCGTTTTTAACTTTGTCGAAAACAACAACATAGCTGACTACGGTAACCAGGAAGTGCCGATTGAAAACTGCATTATAACGACATTCTGTAGAAAATTTACGTACACTACAAATACTTCACTCGGGAGGCACCGCACACTGTACCACTCGCTCCAGCCACCTTGAGACGTTAGCAGTCATCGATGACGGCGTTATCATCATCAATGTTGAAACAGCTACGATCAACGAACAACTGGTAACTGGAACAGTTCTCCTTACATTTGACGAGGAGGTAAAGGTGAACGACTCCCTCAACCGAAACTTAAAGAGCTACGTTAAAAAATCTCCAGCGCCAGCTGCATTAACGCTCCTTAACATGACGGGCCACCAAGAAATACTGAGCTTGCCATACTTGCAGAAGCTTAGTATGGAAAACATGCGATACATTGGCGAACTGAAAAAGGGACTTGTAAAACGGCCTATTGTATCCGGAGTGGTGCTATCGTCTTCTTGGTCATCTGTTATACTTCTTCCAAGCTCTACCAGAAACGCCAGAGGGTCCGACGCCAACGTGACCTTCAAGTTATTATTGACGGTTTCAAGAAGTCCGAAGATGTCCTTCATCTAAGCGGGGGAGGAGTTAACACGATCGCCCAGCAACAATTAAGTCGCCAAGCCGATCACGCATAGCCGGATATTGTACAACGACAGGGCCAGAAGCCCAAGCTTCAGTCAGCGACAATGTTGCGGGCAATGCTCTGTGACGCAAGCAGCTGCAATCCGAAACCATGCACGAGGCGCCGGGTCGGCACTTTTAGGGCATAGGGCTAGCTTTGGTTATAAGGTTTTATGTACTTAACTTTTAGTTGAAGTTAGGAAATAAATCGCGCGTGTCATGGCCACACTATTCCCAAGTCTTCTCATTTGCAACTTAAATAATTGATAACCTACTTTAGCTTATATATTCTGGATCAGCATCAACAGCAGAGTTGAAATAGCAATTTCCGCCAGTCCGTCTGTCTGTTTCCATGCAAACAAGTCTCTCAGTTATAAAGCGATCGTCTTGAAACTTTGTCTTTCTGTTGCAGGCAGTACATATGTCGGTACGGATCACTATATGATAAAGACGCCCCAGAGTCTCCCGACTACATACGTGACGATGCAGCCTTATTAAAAAAAAGCCGCTTTCGACCCCGTTTTCCACGAAACATCATTTAAGCCAACTGTGTTTTAATAAAATCGTATGCTATTTTTGATCCTATATAATAAACATTCAAAAAAAAAACTATATCAATAAATCATATAGCTGCTATAGAAACAGTCGGTCAAAGAGTAGGTTCTCCTATGAAAAACTTTTTTGTTTATCAAGATATCTTACCCAAGCGCGGCAATTTTAAGCTCTACTATACTCTCCATATTCATGCGAAAGCCTATCAACATCGGACCACTATATTATATAGCTGCTCTAGGAAAGATCGGTGTAATAGTATCTTATATGGAAAAATATTCTGTTTTCAAAGATATCTCAACAAACTCAGCATTTTAAAGCTGCACTATTCTCACATACCTGCAAGGGTTTTAAATATTCGGCATGGCGAAGATATTCTTACTTTCTCGTTTGTTTTTCAAGATATTTTGACCAAACTTGGCATTTACTTTGCTCTTTACCTATGGGCACATTCTTCTCGTTCTATATGTTATATATCCTTCTATATTTTATACTTTTATCCTTCTATATATTGTACTCTAAAGAAAGAATCGATCGACCGAACTGAGTTATTGTATGATTAATGCTTCTGTTTAATAAGATATTTTAAACAAATTCCACAATCTCCTCGCATGTCTGCAGAAACGTTAGGCATATGTCTACAAGGGCATTTTAACGTCGGCTTGTCAGGCTTTCCCGTTATTGCTTGTTTTTAGATCATATCGCTTTAATAACGCCTATATTTTACAAGCATTTGATGCAATGTGAAGCCTTCCATACAATATCAACAAGCGAGCGGTCAAATGGTCGCGGCTTGCCCAAGTTTTTCTCGTTTGTTTGTGGAATACATTCAGATGCTGATTTCCTTTCCTTTTTTTTTGTAACAGAACAAACAGCGGCAGATACGGCGCGGTCTAACCGCCTAATGTATTTCTAACATGGCAAAAAGTGCGTCCAGGCCAAAGCTGGAGTCGGAACGGACCCTGGCTGGGTCCGGCCGATTTGCTGTTGACACAACGTGGCCGCAAAAACATTGGCGGGCCCAGTTTAATGAAATGAAAAGCCAAACGCGCGACCGCGAAAATCAAACAACAATAAAAAATAAAGAGTGTACAGACGGGCGGAGGGCCGGGGCACTGGGCTGACTGTTGGCTTGTGGGTGGCCTGTGTGTGTGTGTGTGTGTGTATGTGTGCGTGTGCGGGAGCGGAGGCTGAAACGCAGCAATGGCAGCGGCAGGAGCTGTTGGCAAAACGCCGTGGCAGCATAAAAAATAGTAGTTAAACCCAATTTGTAATTTGTTTGGGTAAAATCGCGCGAGTGGCGATAAAAGACAACAACAACAGCAACAACAGCAGCAGCAACAACAACAACAACGATAGCTAAACGCCATCACAAAGCCAAAAACAGCAGTGGCCGTTGAATCCTTTTTCACACTAATACACATAGAAGGCAACACCTGTATCTGTGTGTAGCTGTGCGTGTATATATCTGTGTATGTGTGTGTGTGTGTGTGTGTGTGTGTGTGCAGGCCGCGATGAGAAACGTGCCGATGCATAATCATTGAGGCCATTATCATTTATTTTACTCAAAGGCTGCGTTGTTGTTGCTGCTGCCACCTGCGCTGGAAAAATCAAAAACACACGCACCAACAACAATAACAACAACCAGGGCAACAACAACGGCAACAAAAACAGCAACAACAGCAGCAACAGCAGCAACAGCAATAACAACAACGTTAGCTAAGCCAGCAGCTAATGCAGCAGGTGATGTCAACCGCTTAGTCCTACCCTTTATGTGTCTATGTGTGTGTGTGTGTGCATGAGGACTGCTGCCCAAAATCGGAATCGGAATCAAATCTTTAAAATTGCAGCTTAACTGAATCAATTACACTATGCAACAGGATTCATTTTATTGTCAGCGAAGATAGATAGGCACCTGAATCATAAAGATACACGTTAAATGCATCGATCAATCAACTGGATTATCGGTAGATAAACGACTTTCAAGCTGTCATCCAAATAAACCCGCATACATTCCCGCTTTTGCAATACTTTACTTATAATTCTCATTCTCAGACTAAAAGCCAAGCACAACGTTTACGAATACGACACAAAGGATGTACGAAAAAATAACTGCACTCTCGTGAGAGTAAGCCCTGACCCTTAATTGAGAGCTGGATTAGTGCACGCGCTCATCTCTATCAAAAAGAAAGAGAGAGAAATTCCAAATTCGGGAGTGTATTGTGGGCCCAAATGTGGCAACGATTAACAAATGACCCAACAGCAGCAACAACAATTGGCACAAAAAGCGGACGCTGGCAGCGCAAACAGCGTCCGGCATTAAATTTACGGCCCCCGGCAGAGCACCGAACCACCCTCTCGCCCCTCCGGACACTTCGGTGAACATTTGTGCATATTTGGACGCGATTTTAGCCAATTTTCTTAGATCAACTATAAAAAAACCTTTTTGAATTTAATAACTAATGATACTGACAAACAGGTCAATAGAAGCTGAGTCTCAGAACTTTAGTTCGTAGTTAAGTTGAAAATATAAGAAAGAAATCAGAATATATGAAATCCCTGAAACAAGGGAATCTTAATGAAATCTTAAACGAGTTCCGAATGTTGCAAACGTGTCTCAAAAGGATCCACAAGGAGCAGCGAAATTTTTTCCTTCAACTTTCGTATATAATACCGCCGCACAAAAGTACCGCATTGTAGAAAACAAAATTTCCCAAAAAACTAAAAATAATTACAGAAAGTTGCGAAAGTGACTGGAAATGATGAAAAAAACTCCGTTCCCCTACCAAACGAAACGTTTTATCCGAATTTGATCGTTTGGAGCGTAAGCAAATGGCAATTCGGAGTTAATAAATCAACTGGTAAATGATGGGAAATGGAAATGTCAAGAAATTATAAAAATTGTGGCATTAAAGTGAAAGCGGGCAGAAGGAACTGTGCCCGTCCAGCTTCAGCTGCCTTTTTTCATTAGGTACGTGAACATAACTTTAATATAAATTCATAAATTAATTAATTAAAACCAAAACGCAGGCAGCGCTGAATTATGTGCGCCGCCAACTGGAGTGGGGCTCCGTCCGTGCGGGCGAACAGCTTCGCGTAGCCTTTCCTGCCCAAAAGACAGTTCAACATTGAATAAGCATTACGAGCATTGTTAAATATTTTTAAATGCTCCGGTGTGGGCCAAAAGGGTTCTGACAGTCGCCAAGTCCCACAACGCAATCAAGGTAAAGGTATTACAAATACTAGACCGCCCCTTAAAAGTTTATAATTCTTAATTACCGGAAATGACGGCTCTAAAAAAAAGCGAAGCAAGAAAGAGAGACATGGTGAGTGCGAGAGGGAGAGAGAGAGAGTCGAGAGGTCCAATCAAGTGACGCTTTATCTTTATTAATAATGAAAAAATATGTATCACATATATTATAATATACTTATTTGCAAGGGCATTTGTTGCGCGAATTAGAGAAGCTCATCTCTCATATCTATCTACTTTTATTGCCTCGGACTATCAACTTATCTACTAGAAATAGCTGCATGAAAATTAAATTTCTCTCTCACCCGCAAACTTTATGCTTAAACTTTACCCATGTCGAGAGTACAGGTATGCCTAAGTATAGCATATCTTATCCAGCGAGAAGCATTAATTAACTACGTTTGTTATATTGCTTTACATTTCACTTCTCGCTTTTCACTTCGCTTCTCACGTTTCGCTTAGCTTCCAATTTTCGTATGCTTTACATTCTGTTTGAATGTTGTTATGATTCTCCCTTCTTTTCTTGATTCGTTTCTTCAACTGCTTCTCGCTTTGCACTTGCTTTTAATTCTCTTTTACGCTTTTTTTCTCACTTCTTGCTTCGTTTATAAGTTCACCTTAGGCTGCGGCCATATTATGTTTCTCTCGCCTCTTATTTTGCTTCCTACTTCTTTTCTCGCTTCAAGCCTTATTTTTAATTCTACCTTTGCACTTTGTTTTGATTATCTTTCACGCTTTGTTTTCATACTTCGCTTCTTGTTCTGTTTCTTATTTCGTCTCAGGCTTCGCCCTTAGCTTTATCTTACATTTCGTCGCTTTAAATTGCTTCTTGCTTCATTTCTCTGATCAGTTCTCGTGAAATTTTTTCTAACTTGGTTTTTATTTTAATTCTCATGTTTCTAGATTATGTGCAGTGCTTGCGTTTCGATTCAATCCTTTTATTTAAGCCTTTCTTTTGTCTTTGATTTTCGCTGCAATCTATATATTTTGGTCAGAACTTGATGGGGAAATGGATTTTTTACCTATTTCAATATAGAACGGAAAAATTTGCCCTGCCTTTTCTTATAATGTATTCATAGAAAATGTGCACTTCAGTTTTACAAGTGGTTTTAAACAACATCAATCTAATGTTTTGTGGGCGGCAAAGTTAAAAACGGCAAAAAAAGCGGATGAGAATGAAAATGAAAGAAAGAGAAAAAGATGCAACGCACATATAAATTTTATAGTCATTTGCGCATTTAATTAAAATTATGATAAAAGCATGCAAAATATTTCACAAGCGCATATATGAAGACTTATATGTATGTGCCCAATGCACAGATACATAAGGGGTATGTGCGCGCACATGCAAGTATATAAGCCATATGGGATAAAAAAAAGGACATCATGGAAACGGATAAATGAGTGCATGGGGGGCAAGAGCAACAGA